TTTTAAATACCTCATTTTATTTATGTCATTGTTATGTAACCAAGCTAAGTACCTGAATTTACACTTCTATCTTTTTCAAAAATTGACAACGATAGCTCAGATTAACAGCAACAAAAATGCAAAGCTTCAGAGAATTGTATTACCACTCACCTTACATATTCAGGTCTTTTTCTTCAACCCCTCCTCTTTTATTTAAATGATGTAGACGGGATTTGATCTGGGGTCGGGTTTTATTAATGGTGTGTTCTGTTTTGTGTGAAAAACAGGGGAGATGAAAGTAATACGCGCAACATAGGTGAGCTTGAACACCCAGTTGTTTTCCACCAACAAGATGCGGTTGATTTAAGCCGAAGTAAACTCATCTTTTCTATTTAAAAAAAATTGATAATAATAATAAAAAAAAACACATTACTTTTCATACTATTTATTTTTTCTAACAACTTCCATTGTTCTGTTTCTGTTGTTCATAGGTGGTCTTTGTGGTCTAAGATCAAACAACATCGCCTTTCCTTCAAGTTTACCTTTTGAAGCCGCAAATGCGGTATTATTTTTGTAATTTCTTATAATTTATGCAAAATTAAACAACACCCACTTTTTAAATTTCATTTTAAGAATCTCTGTAATTTTTTGGTTTTTTTTTTGGGTGTTATTTTGGTAGAATAATTACTTGAGTGCAACTCCGACAACAGCGGCGACGGTGACGGTGGCGAACACTCGGGTGGTGGAAGCAGGGGAGGTGGTAGTAGAAAAGAGAGGGGTGGTGGGAAACAGGCAGTTGGAGTATTGGGGTGAGTCTGGTGCAATGGCAGATACCAGCCAACAGACTGATACCTCTACAGATGTTGACACTGATGACAGAAATCAGGTTTGTTATATTTTTTTTTAAAAAGTGTTCTCTCTCCTATTTTTTGTGCATTAAACCAACAATAGTTTTTGGTGTTTGGTTTTATTAATGTTGTCATATGATTTTGTACCTTAGTTTACATTAATATAAGGTATGTAAATGTATTATGGTGTAATGGTGTTGTTGCTTTCATTGTGATTGTACTTGATGCTAAAAAGTTTGGCTAGATTTTTGAGCTTGTAGTTTGGATTTTGGTTGTGTTTTGTTTTGGTTTTGTGTTTCTCGAATTTCATGTTTGTTTTGTCTGAATAATGTGAGTTTAATTTGGTTGTTTTTTCCTATGTTATGTTAAGGACATTGGTGGACAAATTTACTATATGCCAACTTATTTTACCTGAGACCTTGGATTTATATGACAACTTATGTTTGTTTAATGCTTCCACCACAAAGTGCTTGGTGTAGTTGGTAAGGGTTACATCGTGTGACCTTAAATTTAGAAGTTCGATTTTGATCTCTTATTACAATGCAATGAAAGGATATGGGAAAAAACTCGGAAAAAAGGAGTAGTCCTCGACCTCCTCGTTATTAGTTAGTAAAGTCTTTAAGTGTCAAGGATCGAATCACGTATACTTAACACTGTACATTGTGGTCAACTATACAACATATTAAGTTAAATACTCCTTGCATATAGCTACTTCATAATTATCGGGCTTCCTTAATTACCCTTTAAATATGTCACACAAATTTTCTTTAAAACAACTTGAATTAATAAAAGATGATTTGATATGTTTATTAGGTCCATAATTTTAAAAAGCGAACTTTTGTTATAGTAATTAAATTATACAAGCATCATGTAGTACGTCCATATGAATGCATTGTGAAACTCCAACAAAATTTAAACACATTTTTGTGTGTCATTGACCACTTTTCTTCATTTCTTTTCTATTGAATTCCATGGTTCAGTATCGAGTAATTCAGAACGGAGCAGTGGTAGACTCAACAGATCAATCCAAGGGAAAGACCGATGACCAAAAGGTTATATAGCTAGATATAACACGCCATAATTTGATAAACATGCCTTTGTTTACTCTTACCTTTGAAATTATATTGTGGATTTGTTAATCCTCTTTTTCCCTTTTATTCCGTCAGACTCTTAGGAGACTTGCTCAGAATCGAGAAGCTGCAAGAAAGAGTCGTTTAAGAAAGAAGGTAATCATTATCTAATCAGAATGCATTCTATCCTAACACCATCTTATTATATATCTTCGCTAATTACATTGCTGTTTCAGTGTTTATAATTGTTATGCTTGATACTCTCTCTGCCCAAAATTAATGGTCACTTATACTATTTTCCAACACGTTATAAAACTGTCACATTTCCTAACATAACAGGAATAATTCTTAAATTTTCCAATATGCCACTAATTAGATTAAGCATCACAAAATACATAGAAATTAATGTCAAAACTATAATCCATGGCCCTTAAGGAGTTGGGACAACGTTAGAATTATTTCTTTCCTGAATGCTTATTCGTTAAATCAGCATTTTCTGTATCTTAATGCTGTTAATACGAAATGTCGATTATCTAATAGTACAAAACTGTACTTGTCAATAATTCTTGATGCTCCAAGTACCATTTCTGTTTCATCATGTGAAGTCCTCTTGTGTCAAAACAAGAGTACCTCAAGGTTTGTTGCACACTTGCATTACTATACAGTTTGTCTATAAGCCTGTAAATCCAAGAACTCATAAATAGAATCTTTTTGTACCGAAAATTTGCATATCTCAACTTCAAAACGGTTCATCTATTTGTCCTTCTGACTTCCTGTACTTTTCCCTTTGTTAGGCTAGTATCTTACTAGGGAAATTTGTACTTCGTTTCTGCATCTTTTGGCCTTTTATTTTTTACCAGCCTGAGAGGTTATAAGGTAAATCAGACTAGTGAAAGGGTACTAGAATAAAATAATATAATGCCGCTAATATCATTTAAAGTGCCTAAGTGAATTTCTTGGCATGATAATGTTTAATTAGCTGTAAACGATTCATGATCTCGTATTCTCAGGCATTAGAAAACTGCCATCGGCCCATGTCTCGTCTACAAAGGTGCAATTGTGCTAGGGGCATGTGTTAGTGTTGCTAAGGGGGTAGCGGTGAGGGGTATACACTATATATCGACTTATATATAGTCTCATAATGGAATTTATTTGGTACCGATCATTGAATTTAATTATAAATTATATTAGGCATTTCATATTTTTGTTTCTTATAGGCGTATGTTCAACAATTAGAGAGCAGTCGACTGAAGCTTGCACAATTAGAACAAGAGCTCGAAAGAGCTCGCCAGCAGGTGCAGTTCCTGTACTATAAAATTGTCCTGTTTCAATTCTTGCTCCATACATTTTGATACATTAAGTCTGATTTTTTAGTGCAGGGTTTCATGGTCTCGAGTGTTGGAAGTGAGCCAGGTCATTCACTGGGAACTAATGGTAATTACCACTACTAATTGATAATGTTACTAAATTGTACCCCTTTCGAAATTCTGATTACTTTGCATAATGTGACTAGCCAGTAGTCACCCCTCAATAAAACTTTTTTCATTGTATTGACTTCCCTTCTTTACGTTCTCCTTATCGTATCTTTTTGAACTGTAGGAGTCGTGGCATTTGATGTGCATTATGGGAATTGGCTTGACAAGCATCAAAGGCTTATCAATGACACAAGATCAGCACTAAATTCTCATGTGTGCGATGATGAACTCCGAGTTCTTGTTGACAGTTTAATGTCACACTATGATGAACTATTCCGAATCAAAGCCATAGGTGCAAAGGCAGATATATTTCATTTGCTGTCTGGCATGTGGCAGACTCCGGCTGAGAGGTGTTTTATGTGGCTAGGTGGATTCCGTTCTTCAGAATTACTTAAGGTCATTGTCATTGAGCACCCAAACATTAGTTTCTTTTCCCCTCACTTTTTTTCAGCTGAATTAATGTGCAATTATTCATTAGTTTGTGCTGTTTTGAAACATCAGATACTAGTGAACCACCTTGAACCTCTCACAGAGCAGCAGTTGCTGGGAGTATGCAATTTACAGCAATCCTCTCAACAAGCCGAGGATGCTTTGTCACAAGGAATGGAAGCGCTGCAACAATCTCTTGTCGATACACTTTCTGCAAACTGCCTCAGTCCTACTAATACTGGAGTTGTCGCCGATTACATGGGCCAAATGGCGATTGCAATGGGCAAGCTTGCCACACTAGAGAACTTTGTTCATCAGGTATTCAATCTCATACTTCCTCTGTTCTAAATTAGATGACATGTTTTGACTTTTGACACCATTTATTTAAGATATGACAATTAATTAGATGACACATTTTGACTTTTGACACAATATAAGAGATATTGATTGCCGGATAAAAATAAACAGTAATGCTCTAATTTCTAGTTTATTCTTCATGTTAGGCTGATCTTTTACGACAGCAGACTTTGCAACAACTGCATCGCATTCTGACAACCCGACAAGCAGCTCGAGCACTTCTTGTTATCCACGATTATACTACACGTCTTAGGGCACTCAGCTCTCTATGGCTAGCCCGTCCTAAGAGCTGATATGCGTAAATCTTGGCCTTTGCTGCTATCGCCAACTTCTTACTTGAGGGTTATATGCTACTCGACTTAGTTGCTGCTCCTGCAAGCTGCAGTGTTTAGATCAATTCTGACAACACTAATTTTTAGTGTGCACGGCTATGTAACGCAGTACTATACGGCTATGTAAGCTCCCTTGCTAACAAGAAGCAAGGCATGCAAGGTACTATTACTAGTTGCAATGCATTGTGTAAACTATGCTAAAATAGTGATGATGTCTTGGGTTTTTTTTTTTCCTGGGTATCCTTGAAAACTAATGTAAAATTATAACGCGTAAGCATCTTTTATTCTCGGTTGCCTTGATCTATATTTTATCTTATTTTGGGGTGGTAAGACAGTCTCAATATCATTACTCTTTACTGTATTAGCATAGGTGCAAGTGCTTGACATATATGAACATGCGAGTCTATACACAACCAGTGTACGAATGATCGAGGTTTAATCCTAAGGGCTCATAGACATACCTTTCAAAAAAAAAAAAAAAATGCAAGCAATTACATGAATCATAACAGATTGAACAAAGTGATACAAGCCATAAACGGATACCATATATTTTTAAGAATTAGAGTCTTACAATACATAATTCATATTTTTAAAATAATACATAACTAATTTGACATTTGTAATTTGTACAACTAATGACTGCTTTGCCAAACAAACCATTGAACCAATAGAAATATTAAGCTTCATGTTTGATGACTTGATCATAACCAAACTAGTTAAGATAAAGTAATATATCACACATTTATACATAAATTAAACAAACAAGTAATAAGCGCGATTACATTTGTTTGTACAATGTTTAGGGAATGAAGCAGGGCTAGCTAGCAGCGAGCCATGCGAGTTGGGATTGGTGGCTCTCTGAGTCCTTCCCTATTCCATTTCTCCACATTTCCTTGCCAACCTATTCAAAAATGTTGAGGAGAAAGAAGAATGGATTTCATATTATACTCGATAAAACATATAAACATATAACACTACTAAAATCATGGTATAGTTTTGACCAGGAAGGGTTATTGATTCAGGACAAAGGGAGTATAAGGTAAGCGTACCTAAGGAAGGATCAGCTCCACGATTCTTAAGCTCGCGGTACTCTTGGGTAAGGCCGCACACACAGCAACATTCATGAACTAGACAATCATTGTGTGGCTCCTGTGGCAATTTAAACATTTCCCTTAGTCTTCTCCTATATCCAGCTGCGTACATTGCTTTCCATCCGGTTGGAAGAATAGTATACATGCAGCATGCTTTCTGCTGGGCTATATATAAATTGTAAGTTAACCATAAAATCATCAACAGTTCTTTTTAACCATGATAGACAGAACAACTATCAAAATATCAAGTTTGTTGTTAAATACGGGTCTGGGCTATACCAGCATTAAGAGAGAATCCAATTTACAAGTCTAAGGTGGTTCCATCATAAAACCATATGGCAATAAAAGGTGTAGCTTTAGCCTTATTAAGTATTTTAACTCTCTATTCTTTTTTTAACGTGGGATACTTGCATGTGTTGTTTGAGAAATTTCTACAACATGCGCAAAGTATAATGCTGACTTCAAGTACAAGTGCATGCACCTCAATCTTGAGCTCGCAAGGCTCATGTGTGGCATCACACATAGCGCGTTAATTATTGAATTCTAGTAAATAATTTGTTACATCAATTTTCTTTCAAAAAAAAAAAAAGAAAAAAAAAATTTGTTACATCAATTTATTTATTATTTATTTTTTTAAAAAGATAATAATTTGAGCTAGTTCCAAGCATTTCTTGAGTATTGACTATTGACCAAGTCTATAGGTGATGAACTTTGCAACAAGACTTCCACGTTATGTAATTAACTATTGTTCAAAATCTTCTAATAAACTAAAAATCATCATTATCAAGTAATTATTATATAATCTATGACAGATAGAATAGCAAATGAACGTGAGAAAAATAAAGCGAGAAAGACGGCAGATAGATTATTAAAAAAGAACTATACAACATGCATGATGTAACGCAACCGTGACCTACTACTACCTCCGTTTCGTATTATTAGTTGCAACTTTGGAATATTTTATATCTCACACATAATGCCCCAAAATTGCAACTAATAAGATACGGAGGTAGTAATTAAAATGTCAAAGATCAAAGATATATACCAAACTAGTCGTAGTACAGTATTTTATTGCTTACTTGTTGTGCCTCCATCAATAATTTCTGCAATCTCTCCCATGGTGATCATAGGGCAAAAACATGTCTTCAAGCCTACAAAATTGAACAATTACAAGTCATTGATTAGACGAGATTTGATCACATGACTGCCCCACTATACAAACTTAGCTAGCTGATATCGACACAATTTGTTACACAAGTCATACAAATATGAAACAATGTAAATAAAGGAAAATATCACAAGGAGAAACAAAACGAGGAATTGAAGGAGTTGAGCTAAAGCATTACAAAGATTGCGATCAATGCAACAGTCATTGAAGCCGGTGCTCCATTCTCCTTCAGGAGGATACTGGGATACCTTAGGATGGGCTTGAATGTTGTAGGAACTCATTGTATGTATCAAAGAAAGAGGATAAAATTAGGCAAATATATATATTCTTCTAATTGAATTGTAGCCTATTAGCTTGTAAGCTTACGGCTACGTTATGTTATTTGCAGGGGGTTTATATATAATATGTAATGGATGTAACGAAATTCCATGGAAATGGTGTTAATATATTTATTTAATATAAGTTATTATGTGGAATAAAGGAATTTAGTCAAAGCAAGTTAATATACGAAGTACAGCAAGTACTACCTGTTTTATTTGTTGGGAATTTTTTTTTTTTTTTTTTTTTGTCTAACATCTAAGTCGTTAGACTAAGCATTTGATAGCGACTAAGGTTTTATATACATACATATAGTATAACACATATATAAGTGTATAAAATGAAGACAATGACAAGGCTGCCACTAAGAGAATTGCATTTTACATAACCAAAATCAGAAAAAGATTTTAATGAAGTAATGCTTTGATCAAAGACTTTTCTTTTTATTGATAACAAGCATATCATTTAATTAGCTTACTAATAGCTAGCTAGCTCTATAAGACGTGATGCATCATGCATGTAAAGTATTTCATCAATCAATTATGATAGCTAAATTGCATTCATGTTAATTCTTAAAACTTTACGCATATGAAGACTTTTTGGTGGCTACCAAAAAATTATAGCCATTGTATTTGTTTTATAGCTTACTCGACGATTATTTTAAGAGAAAAATATTGGATATATATGGATAATTTTATTAAAGTAAATCAATATCCGTCAATTAATGTGGTAAAAACTTTGAAGGAAGGTGTCTAACCATACAAATTCAAAGCAATTAAGGTATGACAATGTATTACCCGCCCTTTGAACATGGCTAAAACTAAAATGACACTAACTCGTTGATTAATCTTGCAATATCAGATCATCATAAAACAACAATCTATCACTTTGACTCAATAGCATATTTTTACCAAAACAAAAATATACTCCATAACCTACAAAACTGAAAATTTCTTGTGAGAATATATAAAATTACTAATTTTAAATTAATGGAGTACTAATAACGGATATATTGATGTTTGAATTGAAATAATTTGATTGCTTATCAATCCAGATAATTTTGACTATTCAATATTGTATTATTTTGGTTATTACAATTATATTCATTAATCTATTATTAGAAAAATTCAAATGTAATTATGTAACTCTGTGTTTCTTGATAATGATATAATGTACACTTTATTAGCAAATATTCAACGTGAATATGAATGGATGTCTCCCTTGGTACCATTACTAGCATACCCATAAAGGCCATAATATATTCCCTATCTTGTTGGTCGTCTCGCAGAAAAGTCAACCTATGGAAACCGATATTCTTTGATCAAACATGTTACAAATACACACTTTTAAATTGGGTAATGATATATGTAGCTCTTAGGGCTATATATAACCATTAAATATACTTCCCAAAATGGAATTAAGTTGGTAATACATGACAAAATCACGCGCAAATCGTTGTATTAAATGTTAATCTTCCTCAATCTTTTCATTTTAAGCTTCTTATACATAGCCCTTAAATTTAGGGCTATGTTTATCATTTTTCTTTTAAATTTGTGCTAAAGAAATACTCGTTATAAGATTATTTATTAAAAAAATTATAATAATTGGATACTTTGACGTGCAAAAGATGATAATAAAGGCGTTTGGGTGTGCGAATGGCTACCCCATTTGGGCGTCTAAATGTCCAAGGGCCCATGTCAAAGTCCAAAGCTTATGTTGAAGTCCAAAGTAACGCAAATTATAACATGCACCCTTGTGCATGTAGTTCAGTGTGAATCATTAATTAAACGATGCGTTTAATTGGGTAATTCACAAAACTTCAATGTTCTTCTGTTCCTTTTCTATTTTGTGCGTCTTCCAAGCTCTTCTATTTCCTTATTTATATCTGTCCAATTTTCTGATTTTCTGTCTTCTCTTCTTTTTAAACTTTCCTCCACTTTCTCTCTCCTCAATTTTTCTTTCTCCTCTATACTTTGATTGAATTCTTTCATCACTTTGTAACTCAATAAGTTGATCACTCTACTTGTATGAATTCGTTCATCGCTATTAAAATACTGAGCACTATGGAAGGCAATGTATATCTGATTTTTTTTTTATTACAATTGATATTAATTTCTAATTAGGTCATATGTTCTTAATGCATTTAAATGATTTTGCAATTGAAATGGATTTGATGATTTGGCAATCTAAACTACGTACTCTTTCAATTATTAGTTGTAATTTGGTCTACTTTCTTATAATCATTTTTACAATCAATTAAGCTTTGATCTAAGGATTGATGAGTTTTGTTTGTTTTTAGTATGATTATGAATGTTCTGTTCATAATTTGGTATTTTGAACATTTTTTGTTAAAATTATTAACATTTTATTTGAAGAAGAAATCTACTCTAACTCTATGAAGAACAAGTCAGAAATAGGAACTTATAAAGAAAACTTTTGAGCTATAATGGTTATTCTTTTTTTATTTTAATTGCTTTTTTTTCCAGTTTCATTTATAATTTAATTGTTGAATTGATGCTTTAATTTGTACTTAATGAATATAATTTGTTTATATCATGTTTTTGAACATTTTGTTCATATAATTCGCACTTTTCATTTTATTTATTATCAAAATTGTTATTAGTAGTATCATATTATGAACATTGTTTATATTTTTATGAATACTTAGGTTACTTTAATGAACCTTTGCGTTTTACATAATTCTTTGAGTATGTATATTTTCTTTTTTAAAAAATAATTGTACACGTAATTATGAACATTTTTTCCCTGTATTTGAACTTTGTCGTTTTATTTTTGAACTCCACTAATGGTAATTATGAACTATGTTTGTTTATTGCAGTTAGAACGTATGAATTTGTTTATAAGGAAAGTCTAAAGGCTGAGCAGCAGTGTCTTCACGTGCAGAAGTTTTTGAAGGGTATTTAGTGGTTTGTGGTTGAGGTTCAGAAGTTGTTGTAGGGGGTTCAAAGGTTTGTGGTAGGGTGTTCAGTGGTTTGTGGTAGGGGTTTAGAAGTTTTTGTACGGGGTTTAGAGGTTTTTGTAGGGTATTCAATGGTTTGTGGTTGTGGTTTAGAGTTTTTTGTAGGGTGTTCAGTGGTTTGTGCTTGGGGTTTAGAAGTTTTTGTAGGGTATTTAGTGGTTTGTGGTTGGGGTTTAGAGGTTTTTGTAGGGGGTTCAAAGGTTTTTGTAGGATGTTCGGTGGTTCGTGGTTGAGGTTCAGAATTATTTTTAGTGTGTTCAGTGGTTTGTGGTTGGGGTTCAAAAGTTTTTATAGGGAGTTTACAGGTTTTTGTAGGGTGTTCAATGGTTTGTGATTGGGGTTCAGGAGTTTTTATAGGGGGTTTAGAGGTTTTTGTAGGGTGTTAGTGGTTCGTGGTTGGGGTTCATAAGTTTTTGTAGAGGGTTCAAAGGTTTTTGAAGGGTGTTAAGTGGTTCGTGGTTGAGATTCAAAAGTATTTTTAGGGTGTTCAGTGGTTTGTGGTTGGGGTTCAAAAGTTTTTGTAGGGGGGTTCAGGTGTTTTGGTAGGGTGTTCAGTGGTTTGTGGTTGGGGTTCAGAGGTTTTTTAAGGTGATTTAAATGTTTTTGAAGGGTGTTCAGTGGTTTGTAATTGGGGTTTAAAAGTTTTTGTAGGGGGTTTAGAGGTTTTTGAAGGTGGTTATTTGAAGGGAGTTCAGTGGTTAGTAATTGGGGCTCAAAAGTTTTTGTAGGGGGTTTAGAGGTTTTTGAGGTTGGTTTAGTGTTTTCTGGTGGCTTATCAGAAAATTCTTTGGGCTTATCAGAAGTTATAGGGGCTCTTGTGTTGCTTCTAGTGTTTTATCATAAGTTTATGGGGGATGTTCAGAAAATTCTTGAAGGTGTTCAGTAGTTGGTCTATAATTAAATATTAAACAACAAAAGAAGAAAATACACAAGATCCAAAATCAATTATTATTTCATACCAAAATACTTGATAAATTTTTACACAAATTATTATGTCATACAACACATATATATGGACATAAAAGACAACATATGTGAACATCATACAGGAAATATATGGACAAAAATATGAAGGTAATGAATATGGAACGATTAACATTAGATTTGCTAATTTTATTGCACAATCCACCAAAATTAGTCAAAAAGCTAAAAAAAAAACCATTTTTTATTTTACAAAATACAACAAACTTTATATTAAAGTGGATAGAGAAAGTAGAGTTCAATTATTGTTGAAAATTTTAGAGCTTCTAGTAGTTTAGAGATAGAAGAAAGGGACAATCAAAATTGTCAATGAGGGAAAAAAAATAATCTTAATTAAAAAAAAAGATTAAATACGAAAAGGTTGTTGAAAGTTTTAATTTAGATTTTCAAAGAAAAAATATAATATCAAAATTCAATATAGGTTAAAATAAATAAATAAATAAAAGGGCTGGGCTTCTTACTATTATATTGGGCGTGGGCTTCTTTATGTTGGGCACGGAGGGGCACATATTGGGCCTGGTGCACCTATTTCTAGGTGCACCATGGTGTATGTAATACCAATTGCCAAAGTAAATCGTTAATTAGATCAATCAAGGCGGTCCAACGGCCCAAGATGCCCAAAGCACAACTACCACATATTTATGACATTGATGCACATATATCGAAAAGATCATAATGTCTCACAAATTAAGGCATTTCCCGTATGGGACTGGGGACTTGTTCTCTTCAACTTAATTTCAGTTCAATTCAGTTCAGTTCAGTTCATTTCAGTTTTTAAATTCCTTCTCTTATAAACAATTCAGTTCAGTTCAGCTCAATTCAGTAAATCAAAATAGACCCTGAGTATTCTAGGACACATCTCAGCTCAGTTTACAATATTTATGTGCAGGTAAAATGAGGTTAAGATCAACATATTACTTAGATAACAACTCAAGATACACACCCCTTAGCTAGGTGATTGTCCCTATATGTGAAACAATACGAGTAGATAAAGCTAACTAATTATAAGTATTGAAAACCTTGTTAAATTGTGACTCGAAATCTAGTAGGGCTGACTTTGAATGCTTATGTCTCTCAAACTACAACTGATTTTGAGGTGATTCAAGTTGGAGGTGATAGCTTGTTTCAAGATCTTTCCAACGATAGGTCATATGCCTAATTCTGATAAGAAACGAGAAAGTTATGACCGTTTTACGAAAACCTGTCGAAGCTGAAAATTTGCAACGAGGCTGTGAGCTATAGCTCGGCCCTATGAAGACTTGTGGCAGGCATGAGCTAGCTGCCGAGCTATAGCTCCTTAGTTAGGTTATTCTAGGATAATTGATGGAATATTTCCTAAAATTATATCTTTTCTATGACGGCTATTTGAGTATACTTGGGGAATAATCTTAGGGTTTTATTAGAGTTTTCTTGTGTTATAAAAGGACC